TCTCTTGCCCACCCCTTCATTAATGTACCCCCTCACCCCCTCACTGTCTTGCCCTTCATTCTGTTTACCTCACTATATTGCCACCTCACTATCTTGCCACCTTCATTCTGTGTCCCTCCAATATGTGCCACCCCTCACTATCTTACTTGTCATTCTGTGCCCCCCTCACTATAGTGCACCACTATCTTGCCACCCTTCATTCTGGTGCCATCCTCACTACAGTACCCCCCTCTACAAAACCACCTTCATTCTGGTTACCTCACTATAGTGCCACCCCTTCACTATCTTGCCACCCCTTCATTCTGTTACCTTCATTATAGTACCCACCCCTCACTATCTTACCACCCCTTCATTCTTGTGCCCACCTCACTATAGTACCACCCCTCACTATCTTACCCCTTCATTGTGGTTCACCTCTCACTATAGTGCCCACCCCTCATATTGCCACCCCTTCATTCTGGTGCCATCCTACTATAGTACCCCCTCACTACATAGTCACCCTTCATTACCCCTCACTATAGTGCCACCTCACTTCTTCATTCTGGGCCTCTCATTATTACCCCCTCACTATCTTGCCATCCCTTCATTCTGTTACCCTCTGTTATATACCTCTCTTGCCCTTCATTCTGGTGCCTCACTATGTTGCCCCTCACTATCTGCACTTTCATTCTGGTGCCACCTCTCATTATATCTTACCCCTCACTATCTTGTCCTTCATTTCTGGTGCCACCCCTCACTATTTCCCTCACCCCTTCATTCTGGTTACCTCTCATTATATAACCACCTCTATCTTCCCCTTCATTCTGTTTACCTCACTATAGTACCACCTCTCTATCTTACCCCTTCATTTCTACACCTCTTTATACCTTCATTTCTATACTATAGTGCCACCCCCTCACTATCTTCATTTCTGTTACACCTCATGTACCACCCCCTCACTTCTTACCCCTTCATTCTGTTGCACTTACTGTATTTTTCTCACCCCTTCATTCTGGTTGCCATCCTCACTACAGTACTTTACCACTACAGAGCCACCCTTCATTCTGTGCCACCCCTCACTATAGTGTGCCACCCCTCACTATCTTGCACCCCTTCATTCTGGTGCCACCTCACTGCCACCCTCTCACTATCTTGCCACCCCTTCATTCTGGTGCCATCCCTCAATATAGTACCCCCTTCTATCTTGCCACACCCCTTCATTCTGGTGCCACATAGTCACCCCACCATCTCATACCCCTTCATTCTGGTGCCACCCCCTCAAGCACCCTCACCATCTGCCATTCCTTGCCATCCTCACTATAGTGCCACCTCCTCACTATCTTGCCACCTCATGTAGTGCCACCCTCACTATAAGTGCCACTCACTATCTTGCCCCCACTATGTGCACCCTTCATCTTGCCCACCCTGTCTCACACCCTCACATCTTGCCACCCTGGGCCACCCCTCACAATCTTGCACCCCTTCATTCTGTCACCCCTTCACTGCCACACCCCTTCATTCTGGTGCCATCCTCACGTCACCCCCACTACAGAGCCACCTCCTTCTGGTGCCACCGCTCACTATAGTGCCACCCCCATCTTGCCACCCTTCTCTGGTGCCATCCTCACTATAGTGCCACCCTCTCACTATCTTGCCACCCTTCATTTTTGGTGCCACCCCTCACTATAGTGCCACCCTCATTCTCACCCCTCTATTCTGGGCCATCCTCAATATATTACCACCCCTCACTATCTTGCCACCCCTTCATTCTGCCACCCTCACTATAGTACCACCCTCACTATCTTGCCACCCTTCATTCTGGTGCCACCTCACTAATAGCAACCCTACCATCTCTACACCCTCCATTCTGGTGCCACCCCCACTATAGCACCTCACTATCTTGCCACCTCCTCATTCTGTGCCACCCACCCTCACTATCTTGCCACCCCTCACTATAGTGCCACCCTCACACACCCCCTCACTATAGTGCCACCCCTCACTATCTTGCACCCCTTCATTCTGGTGCATCCCTCTCACTATAGTGTCACCCCCACAGAGCCACCCCTTCATTCTGGTGCCCTTTAGTGCCACCCCACTATCTTGCCACCCCTTCATTCTGGTGCCACCCTCTCTATAGTGCCACCCTCACTATCTTTACCCCCTCACTATCTTGCCACCCTTCATTCTGGTGCCACCCCTCACTATAGTGCCACCCCCTCACTATCTTGCCACTCCTTCTCTCTGGTGCCATCCCTCACTTTAGTGCCACCCCCTCACTATCTTCCCACCCCTTCATTCTGGTGCCAACCCCTCACAATAGTGCTCAGGCGCTCAACATAGTACCACACCACATTATAATGCCACTCCGTTAATATAGTGCCAAACCCTCACCATAATGTCAACCCCCCGCCTTATTATGGTGTCACACCTCATTATGGTGTCACCCACTTCAATATGGAGCCCCTTAACACTATAGGTTAAGTTAGATTAGTTAAGGGTAAATAACAATAGGGTCAATTTCATGATCATATTTTCTTAAGTTGTCTCAGTGTGTCAAGGGGTAGTAGATATTTAATCGTGGGGCCATACTGTGTCGAAAGTTTGCAACACTGCTTAATGGTGTTAGTGTTGCAACGTGTAGCTGTTGTACCGTGTAGTGTGTTACCATTGTTGTAGTGTGGTCGTAGTGTGTTACCCTTGTTGTAGTGTGGTAGTAGTATGTTACCGTTGTTGTAGCGTGGTTATTGTGTGTCACCGTTGTTGTACTTTGTAGTGTGTTACCATTGTTGTAGTGTGGTCGTAGTGTGTTACCATTGTTGTAGTGTGGTCGTAGTGTGTTACCATTGTTAGTAGTGTGGTCGTAGTGTGTTACCGTCGTTGTAACGTGGTTGTAGTGTCTCCTCGTTGTTTTATAGTGGTTGAAGAGTGACTGTAGTGTGTCGCCGTTGTTGTAGCGTGTTTTTTAGTGTTACTGTTGTTGTAGCGTAGTTGAAGTATGTTATAATAGTTATAATGTGGTTTCAGTGAGGTGCATTTGTTGTACTACAGTTGTGAAGTATCAACAATATAGCAGTGAGGTTGTGGAGAACCAAGAGTGTTATAATGAGGTTGTAGAGTACCAAGAATGTTGTAGTGGGGTTGTAGAGTACCAAGAGTGTTGTAGTGAGGTTGTAGAGTACCAAGAGTGTTGTAGTGGGGTTGTAGAGTACCAAGAGTGTTGTAGTGAGGTTGTAGAGTACCAAGAGTGTTGTAGTGGGGTTGTAGAGTACCAAGAGTGTTGTAGTGGGGTTGTAGAGTACCAAGAGTGTTGTAGTGAGGTTGTAGAGTACCAAGAGTGTTGTAGTGGGGTTGTAGAGTACCAAGAGTGTTGTAATGAGGTTGTGGAGTACCAAGAGTGTTGTAGTGAGGTTGTAGAGTACCAAGAGTGTTGTAGTGAGGTTGTAGAGTACCAAGAGTGTTGTAGTGGGGTTGTGGAGTACCAAGAGTGTTGCAGTGAGGTTGTAGAGTACCAAGAGTGTTGTAGTGAGGTTGTAGAGTACCAAGAGTGTTGTAGTGGGATTGTAGAGTACCAAGAGTGTTGTAGTGAGGTTGTAGAGTACCAAGAGTGTTGTAGTGGGTTGTAGAGTACCAAGAGTGTTGTAAGTGAGGTTGTGGAGTACCAAGAGTGTTGTAGTGAGGTTGTAGAGTACCAAGAGTGTTGTAGTGAGGTTGTAGAGTACCAAGAGAGTAGTGTATTGTGAGGTTGTGGAGTACCAAGAGTGTTGTAGTGAGGTTGTGAGAGTACCAAGAGTGTTGTAGTACCAAGAGTGTTGTGAGAGTACCAAGAGTGTTGTAGTGAGTAGAGGTTGTAGAGTACCCAAGAGTGTTGTAGTGTTGTAGAGTACCAAGAGTGTGAGGTTGTAGAGTACCAAGAGTGTTGTAGTGAGGTTGTAGAGTACCAAGTTGTAATGAGGTTGTGGAGTACCAAGAGTGTTGTAGTGGGGTTGTAGAGTACCAAGAATGTTGTAATGAGGTTGTGGAGTACCAAGAGTGTTGTAATGGGGTTGTAGAGTACCAAGAGTGTTGTAATGAGGTTGTGGAGTACCAAGAGTGTTGTAGAGAGGTTGTAGAGTACCAAGAGTGTTGTAGAGAGGTTGTAGAGTACCAAGAGTGTTGTAATGAGGTTGTAGCGTACCAAGAGTGTTGTAGTAAGGTTGTAGAGTACCACGGGCATTGTAATAAAGTTGTGGAGCACCACGAGTATTGTAGTGAGGTTGTGGAGCACCACGAGTAATGTAGTGAGGTTGTGGAGTACCACGAGCCTTGTAGTGAAGTTGTGGAGTACCTCGAGTGTTGTAGTGAGGTTGTGGAGTACCACAAGTGTTGTAGTGAGGTTGTGGAGTACCACGAGCCTTGTAGTGAAGTTGTGGAGTACTTCGAGTGTTGTAGTGAGGTTGTGGAGTACCACGAGTGTTGTAGTGAGGTTGTGGAGTACCACGAGTGTTGTAGTGAGGTTGTGGAGTACCTCGTGTGTTGTAGTTAGGTTGTGAACTACCACGGGCATTGTAATGAGGTTGTGGAGCACCTCGAGTGCTGTAGTGAAGTTGTGGAATACCTCGAGTGTTGTAGTGTGGTTGTGGAGTACCTCGAGTGCTGTAGTGAGGTTGTGGAGTACCTCGAGTGTTGTAGTGAAGTTGTGGAATACCTTGAGTGTTGTAGTGAGGTTGTGGAGTACCTCGAGTGCTGTAGTGAGGTTGTGGAGTACCTCGAGTGCTGTAGTGAAGTTGTGGAATAGTGAGTGCTGTAGTGAGGTTGTGGAGTACCTCAGTGCTGTAGTGAAGTTGTGGAATACCTTGAGTGTTGTAGTGAGGTTGTGGAGTACCTCAGTAATTGTGGAATACCTTGAGTGCTGTAGTGAGGTTGTGGAGTACCTCGAGTGCTGTAGTAAAGTTGTGGAATACCTTGAGTGTTGTAGTGAGGTTGTGTGTGCTGTAGTGAGGTTGTGGAGTACTGCGATTGTGAATACCTGAGGTTAGTGAGTGCTAGTTGTGGAATACCTTGAGTGCTGTGGTGAGGTGGAGTACCTGAGTGCTGTAGTGAAGTTGTGGAATACCCTGCTGTAGTGTTGTGGGCCTGAGGCTGTAGTGAAGTTGTGGGTACCTCGGAGGCTGTAGTGGTTGTGGAATACCTTGAGTGCTGTAGTGAGGTTGTGGAGTACCTCGAGTGCTGTAGTGAAGTTGTGGAATACTTTGAGTGCTGTAGTGAGGTTGTGGAGTACGAGTGCTGTGTGAAGTTGGCCGGAGTGCTGTGGTGAGGTTGTGGAATACCTTGAGTGCTGTGAGTGTCAGGTGCTGTGAAGTTGTGGAGTACCTGAGTGCTGTAGTGAGGTTGTGGAGTACCCTCGAGTGCTGTAATATGTGGAATACCTTGAGTGTTGTAGTGAGGTTGTGGAGTACCTCGAGTGCTGTAGTGAAGTTGTGGAATACCTTGAGTGTTGTAGTGAGGTTGTGGAGTACCTCGAGTGCTGTAGTGAGGTTGTGGAATACCTCGAGTGTTTTAGTGAGGTTGTGGAGTACCTCGAGTGCTGTAGTGAAGTTGTGGAATACCTTGAGTGTTGTAGTGAGGTTGTGGAGTACCTCGAGTGCTGTAATGAAGTTGTGGAATACCTTGAGTGCTGTAGTGAGGTTGTGGAGTACCTCGAGTGTTTTAGTGAGGTTGTGGAATACCTCGAGTGCTGTAGTGAGGTTGTGGAATACCTTGAGTGCTGTAGTGAAGTTGTGGAATACCTCGAGTGTTTTAGTGAGGTTTTGGAATGCCTTGAGTGCTGTAGTGAAGTTGTGGAGTACCTCGAGTGATGTAGTGAGGTTGTGGAATACCTTGAGTGTTGTAGTGAGGTTGTGGAGTACCTCGAGTGCTGTAATGAAGTTGTGGAATACCTTGAGTGCTGTAGTGAGGTTGTGGAGTACCTGAGTGTTGTAGTGAGGTTGTGGAGTACCTCGAGTGCTGTAATGAAGTTGTGGAATACCTTGAGTGTTGTAGTGAGGTTGTGGAATGCCTTGAGTGCTGTAGTGAAGTTGTGGAGTACCTCCGAGTGATGTAGTGAGGTTGTGGAATGCCTTGAGTGCTGTGGTGAGGTTGTGGAGCACCTCGAGTGCTGTAGTGAAGTTGTGGAATACCTTGAGTGTTGTAGTGAGGTTGTGGAGCACCTCGAGTGCTGTAATGAAGTTGTGGAGTACCTCGAGTGCTGTAGTGAAGTTGTGGAATACCTTGAGTGTTGTAGTGAGGTTGTGGAGTACCTCGAGTGCTGTAATGAAGTTGTGGAATACCTTGAGTGCTGTAGTGAGGTTGTGGAGTACCTCGAGTGTTTTAATGAGGTTGTGGAATACCTCGAGTGCTGTAGTGAGGTTGTGGAATACCTCGAGTGCTGTAGTGAAGTTGTGGAATACCTCGAGTGTTTTAGTGAGGTTATGGAATGCCTTGAGTGCTGTAGTGAAGTTGTGGAGTACCTCGAGTGTTTTAGTGAGGTTATGGAATGCCTTGAGTGCTGTAGTGAAGTTGTGGAGTACCTCGAGTGATGTAGTGAGGTTGTGGAATACCTTGAGTGTTGTAGTGAGGTTGTGGAGTACCTCGAGTGCTGTAGTGAGGTTGTGGAGTACCAGAGTGTTGTAGTGAGGTTGTGGAGTACCTCGAGTGCTGTAGTGAGGTTGTGGAGTACCTCGAGTGATGTAGTGAGGTTGTGGAGTACCAGAGTGTTGTAGTGAGGTTGTGTAGTACCTCGAGTGCTGTAGTTTATACATCAGTTAGCAACACTGTTTATGTCATCAATCACCGTAGGTGTAGGTTGACACTGTAGTTAAGGGACCTGATATAGTTAAGCATCTGATAGTTTTGTTGTGACATCATTGGTCAAACTGTCTTGCGGCTTACCATTTTGCTGAAGAAATATCTGTTTATGCATATATTATCTATCTGTCTACGCAAGAATGTGTACAGTGTGTGTGTGTGTGTGTGTGTGTGTGTGTGTGTGTATGTGTGCTGAGAATATTGTTGTCGCCATTAGCTTATACTAGGTTATACAGTACGGCACCGATCAGCTGAGCAACAGAGAAGAAACCCAATTATTCTCTGATAGTTTTCCCTTTTCTTTTAATATCAGGAATCTGATTGCGGTTGAAGGCCACCTTACGCTTGTTGCATTATACCTGCCTGTGTGTGTGTGTGTGTGTGTGTGTGTGTGTGTGTGTGTGTGTGTGTGTGTGTGTGTGTGTGTGTGTGTGTGTGTGTGTGCGTGTGTGTGTGTGTGTGTGTGTGTGTGTGTGTGTGTGTGTGTGTGTGTGTGTGTGTGTGTGTGTGTGTGTGTGTGTGTGTGCGTGTGTGTGTGTGTGTGTGAGTGTTTTGAAGACGTGGGTTGCTGGTTACCCAGATAGCTACAGTATGTCTACTGATCTACTGATGATAGATTTATTCAGATATACATCAGATAATAGTTCATAGATGATGAACAACATGAGTACTGTGGCCAAGGCGTCAAGGGGCACTGAGGGAAGGTCCTGCGTTCGGCTGGTGGAGTGAGAGTGAAAGTGGGGTCGATGACCGAGGTGTGTCGGAGGTGAGGTAGCTCCTACCTGGCCGGCACAGTGACCTACTCCTTGGTCCTCCACCTTGCCCTAGGCATTCCATACACCCCCATGCAACACCTGCCCCTCTCCCCACATCACCCTACTATCACCACAACAAGCACGGTAACTGAGCAACCTTATGTTTCTCAGCTACAAAGGTTCTACCAAATAGTATGGTAAAGTGACCTAAAACTCTTAATAACTGCATTGTATAGTGAGAAAGAGTTGATCTCGTACCCTCATATGGAAGCTTTCCCTGCGAAGGTTTCCAGCTGTGAGAGTATCAGTATGTAGACCTGGGCGTGGTAGAGTAAAATAATGTTCAATAAGTTAGGAGGAGAATGCTCAGGGTTAATCTACAAGCAAGTTGCCTACCATGTGGATTTTAATCGTGAAAGTATCCTTACGTAAGACAGGAGCTCCAGGGGTCATTCCCTTACATGGACATCCACAGTAATAAACAATAAACGCCCGCATGTCCAGGCCATGTCACTTCCTTATTCAAAATCTCCCGCCATGCTGAAAGCAAACATGCGAGTGGGACGTCTTCAACAAACTCTTAAACAACGCTTAAAATTTTGCTAATGCAGTGAAAAACTTAACAATAATATATTTTTTGACAAGAAGTGGCCATTGCAATAGATAGAACGAGTCTTGACAACAACAAAAGCAGCAACATTCAATATAAGTCAACATAGTGCAGGGGTCAATGAACTCCACCAGCCAAAAACACCAACCAACACTGTAAGGGAACCCAGCCATGTTGGCAGGGTAGATGTAAGAACCCCATTTTCAAAAAGGTGTATCTCCTTCATACAAGTGAGAAAGTGGGCCTTGAGGCAATAGTTTTATGGGAGGCTGAAGATGAAGAAAGTGGGAGGTCATTGACCGCCAGGCTGCTGCTACTACTGCCAGTGAGCGCCGCACCTACCTGTGTTCTAGCCAAAAGGTTTATTCGCTTAAGATTATCATGCAGGAGCGTAGTGAACAGGCAAATAGAGAGTCAGTCAATAGTTTAATAACTTTATGGATGTGTTTTCAGAGCTGCATAAGGAAGGAATTAACATAAATCCTTGAAACTAATTTGCCTTTTGAGGTCAAGGAAGGTAAACATTAAACTAATTTGGTTAAAACTTGTTAGCAGTAACAGACACAATGGAGAGTAATGCAGGTAAACAATGATCAACGTTCAACGTTATGACCCAGAAACACAGTCGATGGGTTTTTGTTCATGATTTTCCTCCAGTATCTGTTAGATTAACATATTGCACGTACTATCTAACTGGTTTGTGTTTTATATGTGATATTCTGGTCATAATTATTTAATTTTATAAATAATCATATTAACCCTTTAGAGGGGAAAGTAGCCCTTAAGTATTTTATTTTGGCTGACGCCAGACGATTTTATTCAGCTGAGAGAAACTCCTGTCGTCTAAAGGGTTAGTACCTATCTCGATTAGTATTCATAAGCATATCAAGACCTATGTATCGAATGTATTTGAACTGTTTGTTTGCTTTGAAGGTCACTGAGGATTATTTATCATATTATTACCAGTCAACGAGAGTAAAGTGGAGGAGGGAGGTCACCACGTGAGTGAGGGAGCGTGGTGGATAAGGGGTGCGGACGTTGCTCCTGCAGGAAGGCAGAACCCCCCGACACACACCACTACCACCGACCACCACATTGTGCTTGTGGCAGACACAACTGTGATGACGTGTGAGCTCGCGTGTGCACTATTTGTTTACCTCACAGTGGGGTCAACGCTCTCTCAGCCTGCGCCAACCCTGCTCCTGGCACCCCCTCTCTCCACCCCTCCAACTCCCTCCATCCCCTCCACTCCTCATATACAGATGAAAGTAACTCATCTAAATGTACAGTACGTCCAAGTCAATGCCTTGCCTTTTAAAATAGCCATTATCGACCTTAACGATGTAGCTGTCCTTCAGTCTGAATAATTTCCCCGTACAAGGGTAGTTGAACGGGGTCACCAGCTGAAGGGGAGGGGGAGGGAGAGAAGGGAGGGAGGGAGGGAGGGAGGAAGGGGGGTGGGAGGGAGGGAGAGTATGGGGTAAGGGAGAGGAGAGAGGGAGGGAGAAGAGGAGGGGGGGAGGGGGAGTTGCACAGATATATCATACACATGGAAAGTCGCGAAGGGTGAACAACCTCTGGGTGTTACACTGTTGCAAGATACACACACACACACACACACACACACACACACACACACACACACTAAAACATAGAGTCAGTGGAAGTTGTTACTTACGCCAAAGGAACCCTCAGTGGTAATATATAATACGTCTAATTAAACGCACGTCTTATGTACACCTTTTATGTACATATGTCATTACACAAACTCACTTGAGTCGTCACACCCACAGTCATATATGATATACTGTATAGTATATTTAACTAAATAAAGATAATTGCCGATTAAGCCTTAAAAAGTAACTGGAATTTTTGCTCAATAGGGATAACTTTGTTATAACTCAACTGAAATTAATTTGCACAAACTAAAATATGTTCGGTTTCATTTAAGGCGTCGTTTACTACCATTAGGGGTTAGGTTAGGTTAGATTAGGTTAGGTTAGGTTTTAAACTATTCAATTACATGTATTTTTATGATCTACATTAATGTTTATGGTTAGTCAGAAGTTTGCCCACAAAGATTAATATACAGGATATATCACTAATCGTCAATTATCCCGATCTAGAGCGCGCGTGTGTGTGAGTTGGGGGAGGATCATCTACATAGCAGAACCAGAACAATATACAAGGCAAAATGCTAAAAGGTATTCGCTAACCCAGGTTAGGCCAGCGAATCGTTTATCTCCTCAGTGTAGAGTACTGTACAGCTCAGAGGCTAACATGAGCCAGGCCAAAAGCACAAAAGATGTTAACAAGTCCCTGATATTGGTTGATGCAGATATTTTTCTTGGCTACAACGACAACTACAACACAAACATTACCAAAAATAACAACTATAACGACAATTACAGCGTCAACGACATCAACAATAACAAAAATAACTGATAAAACAATAATAACAACACCAATATTAACAACAACAACAATAAAAAATAATAATAACAAAGAGAACAGCTGCAACAACAACTAAAATAAAAACGCCAATAATAACAACAACGATAACAATATCAACTGCAACAATAACAACACTAATAACACTAATAAAACAACAACTTCTATAAGTTGAACATAAACGCCATAGGATAAAATGGTACATTATCGAGTTAAGTAAAGTTAAATAAAAGGTAGAAGTAAGATAAAAGAATAAAAAACTAAGTAAAACGTAGAAGTATAATAAAACCAAAAAAGTTATTAGTAAAAAGAAGAAAAAATTATGATAAATGAGTAAAAAGCTAAGTAAAAAGTAGGAGAATGATAAAAGAGTAAAAAGTTTTTAGTAAAATGTAAACTTATGATAAGAGTAAAACACTACGCAAAAAGTAGAAGTACGATAACAGAGTAAAATGTTTTAAGTAAAAAGTAAATATGTGATAGGAGTAAAAACAATAAGTAAAATGTAGGAGCATGATGAAGAGTAAATAGTTTTTAATAAAAAGTAAGAGTTTGATAAAAGACCACAATATAAATGAAAACTTAGGACTATGATAAAGCAGAAAAAATTTAATAACAAGTAAAAGTTAAGTAAAAAGTAGATGCATGATTAGAGTAAAAATTAGGTAAGATTAGAGATGATTTAAAGGTCCAGGAGGAGTTTATGGAGTGTTTTCACTGAATTACGTAACGACACACGAGATATCGAGAATAATCTACAGACCCCACACTAATGTAAGGAATTTTCTTGATAAATTATCGGAACTTATCATAAATTCAGAGAGGAAACTTTGCTACATTACAGGAGATTTCAAGCTTGATATGCTAAAATCCGAGACGGCTACCTCAGTAATAGATCTTCTTGCTACCTGCCATTCTAAGCTCTTCTACAACACCTTCTGCTGTGCCCTCTTTGTTTACAAATCTATCAATCACTTGCTTGACAATAATTATTTCCAGTTCTGGAATAATCAGAGATACAACTTAAGGCACCTAGAGCTACTAAGACCCCCCCCAGTGCGCTCCTCTCAGTCCCAGACCTCCATAAAATATCACGGTGTGAAGGTGTGGAACAACTTATCCCCACCCATCGGAGTAA